TCCTGGGGTGAGATTAAAGTAAGGAAGAGTTCGGAGCAGGAATGGAAAAGAAAGAGCTGCCCTGTGACTGGGTCAGGAGGGACGGGGAGGTTTTTACAAAGACTGAGGCATCCCTGTCATTCCAGCGCACAATGCTGGAGAGGCAGGGACAGGCCAAAGCATGGGTGGACATGGGAAGACAAAGAATGCTTCCTGAGCTGGATGCAAGGAGTGATGGAAGGGAGCTGGGGGAACCGTTCTGGGCAGCCAGGGACCATACATTTTCACACTGAAGCCAGCACCATGGGGAATAACACAGAGCCAGAAGGATCTGCCTGGCTTCTGGGTCCAAGAAGGGACGTGCCAGGGTACCCAGTGAGAGAAGAAACACAGGGCAAGGGAAGTTCAGGGCTAACACACACATTGAGTTTTGAAAGGTGACAGATGAGAGGGGTGGTGATCGAGGGACGACCTTAACTCAGGGTTAGGCAAGTCTATCCTTTGTGCCTTTAGTTGGTGAAAAACCCTGAAACGTCCTTATTTAAAGACACGTCTGTGCCTGCTAGAGTCTATCGGCAGAGGGCAGTGACACTCGCACACACACGTATCCCCGCCAGCCTTTAATCCATCCTGCTTTTGCTCCTGTCACAGCAAGGACACCTTCCACCACCCTTGTCCAAAGCAAACGCATTCAGTTTATTACTTGGAAGGCAAACTACAGGCGATGCTGCAGGCCCAACATCTGGCTTCTTTTTTTAGTCTCCCTCTTCCCAAAGCCCACGTGGTATTTTTCTATGTGTTTCAAAGCTGGGATTTATTTGTTTTTTTCAAAACCAAGAGCTCCAATTCCAGGATCTGCGAGAAACCTTACAGGAAATAACCCGTGTGCACAGAAGTAGTTGAGTGAACATGCCATAGCAATATTTATCTTTCCCTTCCGTATAACAGTGAGGACAGCACGCAATGCTATTGCTCCTGTCACTGCATCCCAGCAGAAACGAGACAGGAGAGTGCAGGGTGGAGCTGTAGGATCAAAATGCTTCACTGAAGCTGAGTAGGGAAAGGGAATAGGAGAGGTGGACACTGAGCAGATCAGAAAGGGCAGGTTTCTGTGGCAATAGGGAGCAAGGTTTTGGCAGAGGGCAGCCAGGAAGGGTATGAGGAGACAGGCAGGGGATGATCACCAGCAGAAACTTTGCTAGAGGTGGGATAGGGCAGAGAAAATACAAGGAGGTGGCTCTGAGTAACACAAAAGGAGCCAGAAGCTCTAGGGTGAAAGTCCATAGAGGTGCCATTCACACACACAGAGCTCGTCCAGAAGTATGCTTTCTCTCAGCATATTTCCCCAAAGGGAGGAGAGCTGGCTTGGGGTAGAACCCACACAGGGGAAGGATGCCCATCAGTTAACCCATCCCCAGTGAGACCAAGCCAGCAGCGGGTTCATCTAGGGCTCTGCAAGTCATTTTGGTAGAAGACTTAAGAATTTCCAAGCTGAATTTCTGGCAGAAGTGCTAATATTTAACCACATTTAGGAGGTCTAGAAATGCCAAACATGCAAAACCTGCCCACTTAATGACCAGTGTTGAACAGCCTCCTAATGGAACTAGGGAACTTTTAAAATGTGACAGATAAAAGCTCTGAAAAAGTCCCTATGGAGGAATCCTATGGGCTGGGAGCAATGAGGACAACATAGATGTGGGTAACGCCACTGGCCTTTTAACCAGCAGCCTCTTGAACAAAGCTCCCCCTCTCATTTCAGTGGCAGAGATTCTCAACTCCTGCTGACTCTGTTCACTCTGGACTCGCACTGTATTATTTTAGTCCATTTTTATATGCTTTTGGACATTCCAAGTTGCATTGAGTCAAAACTCACATAAAGAAAAGATTATATTGATGGATTTGTCTCCATTTGCTCTGACATGCTGTTTAAAGGGAAAGAAACACTTCAGCTGGGCTTCTTAGTTAAACAGGGTTGAGGAAACCGAGTACAAGAATTCAGACCCTTAAGACAGTATCCAGTGTTGAAGAAACCGGCCCTCTCCTCTCGTCTGATGGAGACATTCAGTGACACCCTCTGCAAGTTCTGAAAATCAGAAGAAAATAACTGTGCTTTCGGTTATTGTTTACTGATCACTCCAACAAGGAATCTTCCCCAGCTGTCTGTCTCAAACAAACAAGGAGAATTCACAGGATGCTGCACATGGGATGAAACAAGGAGCCAGTTCTGGCGTCCTGAGGGCTCTTATGGGATCATGGCTCTACAGGCACCCCAGAACGACCTTCACTCACAACCCATTGCTTTGAGCAAGTGGTAACACGAGCTCCTACAAAGCTGATTTATCTTGCTGAGGGCAGCTCCTTGCTTTGCCCACTGGCTAGCCAGGAATTCTTGGTGGCTTGTGACAGAATCATATGTCATGCTCCATTCCGTTTCCTCTGGCTTCACCCAAAGCCACTTGTAATGAGAGAAAAGGCTCCCAGTTTGTATACTACACTGTGGATTAGGGTTTGTCTTACTGTCTGGCATCGAGGACAAACAATTTCTGCTCTGGCTGCAAACCACAGCTGTGCTCACTCTTTAAGCAGCAAAATTCTCATTCCAGCTTTCATTTGGCTTAGACCTGGTTCCCAACCAAAAAAAGTTTAAACTTTTATCTTGCTACAGACCAGGCAATCATGAGATACCCAACTTTGAGCACAGCGCAGCCCTGTCAGGATGGATTAATGCTGGGATAAAGACGCCAACATAAGCAGAAAAGCCACCGAGGAACTTGGTGTCCTTATGTCTACTGCTGCGAATCAATGCAAACCTTTCCTAAGGGTCTGAGAGCACTTCCTCTGTTTTCCGCTTTATCCCTTCTTCCAACAGACAACACTGGGCACGGCAGGAAAAGGAAGCACATATGGTTTGCACTCAATGACAGATCACTACAAGGAAAGGACACAGAGAGGCTGTGGGATTTTCAAGGACCCTCTCACAGCAGGAGTCTGCGGCACAGAAGCAGAGTTGTGCAGCTTTACAATATATGACATTATGCAGCCCCAGTAAGCATCCTTTGACTGCTTACTCTTGCATTTCAGTACAGCTTCAATAAACGCACTTGATGGTCTCAGATATTCCACAGGGAAATAAAAAAGGATAAACTACCAGCATTTGGAATTTTTGTGGTGTGGCAGCTTGCCTTTGCAAGGTGTACAACGAAGTTTCTAATAAGCCATCACCCAAAGGAATAAGCCTTATTCTCTTACACAATACCAACACAAGCATTCACACAACTCATGTGACAGAAAGCAGCCCGCATCCGGGCGCAGTGGGCATCCCATAAAGATCAACTCAAGGCAAAATGCAATTGTGCTTCTAAAAACAACAGTGTCAGAGGTTTTGTTTATCTGCGTTGCAGCAATATTGCACTTGCTAAAATAAAACACTCTCTCCCCGTCTTCCAAGAAGATTACCATCATATAAAAACCAAGTCTGGAATCATTCTTTGCCTGCCTGGGGCTGCATTTAAGAATGTTATTCCTGGCCTGCTCCACTTAAAGATCACCACCCGTATCATTTATCTAGCTGATGTGCAGCCTGGCTACCGGGCTGCAGCAGACACACAGCCAAGTCCCATGGAAAAATGGTCTGGAAAGAAAAGAAAATGATGTGTTGGCCTCTTGGTTGCTGGATGCCATCCATGCAACCCATAGTCAAGCCTAAAGACAATAAAGGTGCTTCAAGAAGTGCATTGTTGTCAGCGAGAACCCCGGTTTAGAGTGGGAATGTGCATGCATTTAAGAGGTCTTTAGTGTCGCTTATTTCCGCATTTTTAAAGGTAATCTGAAATCAACTACCCAATTGGCTTGGACCACAGAGCATGGTTTAATTTGGTGAGGCTGCTCAGGCAAATGCTGGTGCCAAAAGCTGTTGGCATAACAAACCCAGCAGCATCTCATGCCATATTGCACCCTTCTGCTGTGCCTTTGAGGCTCTTCACCATCCTAAAACAACAGGTAAGAGAAGAGGGCAGCATGGCCATTCCCTCTGCTACTCCGTAAGCTCCTCCCGGCTTGAATGAGGATGCTTTTGACTGCAAAGCAAGGGAAAAAGGACACACTGACCCACAACACATCAAGCAACGAGCACAGGAAGGCAGTCAGTCACCCAGGCCCTTCTCCAGGGTGACCCTCTCCCTGAGGGGGGTGACAGGAGCCCCAGGCCCACATCAGTCACCAGAGCTCCTCCGCGGTGTCCAGAGCAAGGCACAGCCATGCCCTGAGGGGGGTCACTGCCTCAGGCCCGGCCCCACAGGCGGTGGCAGCACTGGGACACCCAGCAGCGCGGTTCTCCACCATGGCCTGCGCGGAGCTCCGCAAAGCCCCCACCCCTCGCCGCACCCCGCACAAAAAGAATAGGCTGCCCCCCCCACCCCGCCTCGCCTATTTAGGGGTCCTTTCCACCAATCAGCGCTAGGGGCGGGATTAACGCGGACTACAAGGTGTTGATTGACGAGCCTCTGAGACGCCTCATTTCGCCGGAGAGGGAGCGGGTGGAGCCAGCGTGTTGGCAGCCAATCACCAGGCGCGAGTAGACAGCTCAGCCAATCCCTGTGGCGGTGGGCGTGGCCCGCCGCGGGGTCAGACCGGGAGTGAAGGCTCTCTACCGTTCCTTCCTTTCTGCCTCCCGCTCCGCTGCCGTTAGGACTTCTCACTGCGGGATCCCTCCGCCGCTAAGCGGCAGTGCCCGCACTGGTCCGTGCCCCTCCGCCTGCTCGCTGCTTTCCAGCGAGGGATTATTTCCCGCGGTAGTGGCGGCGGCGGCGGGGCGGCTCCAGCGCGGCGGATGGAGGCAGCCGGCGCCCGGCTGGGAGAAGGAGCCGCCCCGTAAGGGAGGAAGGACGCGGGAGCGCAGAGGCCTGCTCGGTGCCGCCGGGCCCTACCGGGCAGGGACCCCTCGGCCAGGCCGCACCTCAGCGCTCGGGCCTGCGCCGCCGGCGGCCTCCCTCGGCGGGGACCGGCCCGGCCCTGCCCGCAGCCGGGGGCTGCCCCCCGCGCTCCTCGCCGCCGGGCCCCCTTGTCCCCCGGGGGCCGGGCTTGTCGGGGGGTCGGGAGCGCGGAGGGGGACGCTTAGGGGGTGTCGGGGCGTCGGGCTTACGGGCCCCCCTCGGTGCGCTGCCGCCGGCTCTCTCCGCCGCGACCCTCAGCAGGGTGTGCGCCCTCCGGGCCGGGGGAAGGCGGAGCACCATGGTGGAGAAGCGGTGCCCGCGGCTGCAGCGGGACGGAGTGTACCGCTGGTTCTCCGAGCTGCCGTCTCCGCAGCGTGTGGAGTTCCTGTGCGGCCTCCTGGATCTGTGCATCCCGCTGGAGCTGCGCTTCCTAGGCGCCTGCCTGGAGGACCTGGCCCGCAAGGACTACCACTCGCTGCGTGACTCCGAAATCAAGGCCAACAACCCCGCCGACCTGGGGAGCCTCACCAACCTGACGGACGAGGTGGTACGCAGCAAACTGCTGGTGTCTCTTGCTCTGCTCGGGTCTGCACACCGAGAGGCCGCCGGGGTCCTCTTCCGTACCCTCACCCACATCGATTCGGTCATCAACAACTATGGGCTACAACTCAACGAGGGCCGCACAGGGGATGAGTTCCTGTTGCTCTTTACAATGGCATCCAACCATCCTGCTTTCAGCTTCCACCAGAAACAGGTCCTGAGGCAAGAGCTCACTCAGATCCAGAATATCATGGCCAGCACCAGCAAGAATCCAAGCACCTCTACCCTCAACACCATGGCAACCTATCCTGGCTGCCATAAGGTGGGTATCCTGCTTTTGCACACCATGGTGGTACTGCTGTAGGGCACTGGGTTGTGTCTTAAGCTCTGGTTTTAAACCTTTGTTTTAGTACAGGCATTCTAGTGATAAATGGCAGCCTGAAAGACTGATGGCGATCACTTGGTTGGTTGATGATGGGGATGAATAACTGAGGGCAAAAAGAGGGATGCATGGAGTTCTTGTGGATTGTGGCATTCAGGTAGGAAGAAGTTCACAAGCTGATCAACAGGCAGCAGTATAAACCTCAACTGGTTGCTTTTGGCAGTACCTGTGCTGAAGGGACAGTCCTGCCAGTTGTATGGAAGACTAGTGATTTAGTACGGGAAGCAAGCATGTGGGTTTGGAAACAAGTATCTGTTTAAAAGTTTCCCTGGAATAAACCGGAAAGGAGAATCAGCTTAAGAAGTAGCTGTCCAGTGGCAAAGGCATCTTGGAGTGTCTGGATTTTGTTCAAACAACTGTAATGGCAAACATTTTTAGTTTCTGATACTAAAAGAAGTGTGGTGGTTGCCTGTGAATCTTCTGGCTATTGATCATGGTGTCACTGGTTCACTGTTACTAAGTTGCTGTTTGTTCATTCAGCTGCCAGCAGTTAAGGTAGGCAGTAACATTTTAAGATGTGCTGTTGATTATTACATATGTTACTGAGTGCTTAAGTGCTCTTGGGATGCTGCAACTTAGGGAGTCAAGCTGTCTTTCTGACTGAATTTAACCTACTTGAAAGTTCAAGCTAAGTGCCAGCTAGGCGGTGGGTGCGTGTGATCAGTTAACAGGCTGTAGCTTTTGAGGGTGTATGATCTCGGCCAGAAAATAACTGTGTTACCCTTCTATTGGGAAAGATGGTGTATATCTAATGGCTATGAAAATCCCTGTGTTGGAGTGGGATCCTAAATAAAGCTTTTTCTGAGGGCTCAGTACAGATTGTGTTGAGTGTTCGATTCCAGACTGAGAGAGCAATCTATGCTCAGTCTTCCCCTGAATACAAATTTCCTTCCAGTTTTGTTTCTTCTAACAGTGCTGCTTCAATTGTAAAATTTAGATGAGTATTATTAAATTTCGTATTTGTCCTAATATTCCCTTCCTATGTCTTTAAACAGTGTTTTTTCCTGACATTTTATTTTAAGGGGAAAGAACAAGGTATGGGATTGCCCTTCTCTTACGTTTAAACCTATATGTAAATAAAACATGGAATGAAAGATTTCATGCAGAGTGTAGAAGGGTATAATTGAAACCAGAAAAAGCTTCCTTTCAGGTGCTTAACTACTTGCAACTTCCTTTATTCAAAAGATGCATGGACCTAGGCTTGAAAGGGAAGACTGTAAATCAGATACAAGTTTTCCCAAAATAAGGTGAGTAAAAAAAGATAAAGTTCTGTGGGCAGGAACTTTTTTTTAGAGTATGCTTTCAAAGCTTCACAATAGCCCACGGTTTATGTGGCTGAAAAGCTCTTCCACTATTTATGTCAATCTAAGATGGACGGAGAATCCATTCTGGCATTTTTTTGTGCAGCATAAGACACATAGGACAGTCAATTGATGTTTTTTGTTCTTCTGCACTCACTGAAGGGTTGGCTCTTTGAAAATATATATTTTTTTTTAAATAAGTGTTGAACACTGGCTGCCAAGTACAGGATAGTTGGAGGGAACAAAAAAGATGACTTTGCTTTCATGGTCTCTTGAATATGCATTTTGTTTGAACAGGTTTCCTTTATGATTGTTGAACATTTTCAGTGTTGATAGCTGGGTAATTTTGCTACTTTTAGAGTAAGCAGTTGGCTTAAAACAGGAGTTGGATGAAGCAAGTGGAAAAAACCATGTCTTTCTCCATTCAGCCCAGTTTAAATATGCACAAATAAATTCCAACACTGTGGACTTCGATCTTGTGATGTTACCAAGTTATGTTGTGACAATACTTGTGCTGTAACATCACTTAAAAAAACAACAGTACAGATGTCAAGAGAAAGTGAGCGGCAGTGGGCTGCTGCCTGCCAAGAGTCCCGTGCTCTTCATCTTCTTCAGAACTGGAAGAGAGTTTCCTCCCCAGTGCCAGCACTTTCTCATCACTCCTGTTGCTTTACTACATCTGGAGTTATGCAGAGCTGGTCCTTGAAGTCAGTGCTGCATGTTAAACTGTGTGAATGCTGCTCCTATATTCTCAAGTGTAAACCTCTTTGAGCTCATCCTTAAAAAAAATGAGCTGCAGAAATGGCCACCATTTGAGGTCCTGAGAAACTTTGGGAAGCTGGAATGGCGTGGATGTGTAACGGCATGCAAATAGGGAGCTCTTTGTGAACAGGGCTAGTTATCCTTCAGAGTTTCTCTTGTGCCAAATGTGGGAATAGGGACTAACACTTCTGTGACCACAGTTTCTTCTGTGTAACTAGAGGCCCGTTACAGTTTCTGATGACTTACATTTAACTTGTTTATTCAGGGAATTGCAACAAAAAGAGTTGAACAGTGTTCTTGTTCTCTTTGCAGAAACAAATGGAAATGTGCTGCTTCTCCTTAGTCCTATTAAAGTATGACCCAACTTGATCTTAGCTACAATGTTTTTCCAGAGGATTGGAGCTTGCAGTCGTCTTTCCATCTCCTGTCTCTTTCACATCTTGCAGTGAAATCTCTTTAAATTGTGAAGAGACTGAACAGTTGATAGAAAATTACTGCAAACATTTCATGAGACTTCAAGTTACTTTGTATCATTAACCAACTTTATCTACCCCAAACAACTGCTTTTTGTTGTTCTCTTCTACTGTCTGCTGCAATTGCTGGCTACAAGAAGCCTCCAAACAGCTGTCCATATATTTTTGCTTTAATTTGTGCTTTTCAAAATGATTCTTGGAATATATGAATCTTAACAGGGAAAGGTGGCTGTGGCTGGCTTTACGTAGGTCAGTAACTATTAGATTCATAGTTTCTACTTGATAGTACAAAATTAACATTTTTTCCTTGCCCCAAGTAATGAGAACTCTGCCCTCTCTACAGCAGACTATGGCTTTAGTCCTTGTTAAGATGTTAATTTCTGCCCCTTATCCTCTGTGTTCTTCTGGCTTTGAATGGTGCCGGTGCTTGCAGGACTTGAATTGCAAATTCTTCAAACCTTTTGGCTGTAGGCATGAAATCTGAGGTGGTAGTATGGTTTTTAAGGACTGAAACAGTGCAATTGTCTTCAAATGCAGCCCAGTCATATGTCTGAGGAATCGGGTCTTTAAAAACTTTTGTTCCTGAAATTAACAGTAATAGGCCTTTTTTTTTTTTTTTTCTGGAAATGTTGTGACTGAGTTTTCAGGATAGTTTTGTACCTTAGGATGCCTATTCAGGTGTCTTATACCTTTGCCACAAAGGAGATGGAATGGTTTTCTGGCCAGCCTTTTGAAGGCTCATTTTTATGCTTATGTATAGTGCTTAGAGCTGCTAATTCTGCTGTTTTCCTAGAGGAGGGAGGGCTGGAAGCATCAGGGCTCACAAAAACCAGTAGTCAAATGTCTCCTGCTGTGTATGTATATATGCAGGTGCTTTGACAGGCAGACTGGCACTGCTGAATCCGTGACCAGCAGAAAAGGGACAAATGTTTCAAAGATGCCTCCTAACATCTTGAACCACTCATTCAGACTTCTGCTGTGTGTGCCTTGTGACAGCAAACAACTGACTTTGCTATAGGTGAAAACTTAATCACTTGGGACATAACTCCCAGAACTAAAGGAGAAGTTATTAATGAATCTGTCACTGTATTTCTTGGACTTGCTTTCATCTACTGAGGTCATTCTGTAAAAACAAGGAAATAAGATAATGCTTTGGTTGCTTACTTAGCTGTGCTAGCCAGCTATGGCAGGAGCTCCTCAGTGCAATTAGTACCATGATCTGGTTGAGGCTTCAGCTGTAGAATCGGGGTCATAAATAGTAAGTCTGACTATAGTTTGTTTGCAGCTCAATGGAAATAAGAGTCAGTGACATTGTAGTTATGTGACTGTTCCAGGTTGGTATCTTATGAATGGGAAAAAAGGTTCCTGCCGAGTCAGTTTCCAAATACTGCACCAACATCTATTTCAAGTTTCTAGCATAAGATGCTATTTTTCAGTTGTGTTAATTCAATAGGATCATCCAAACTTTCAAAATAACTAAAGACTGTGTATTGGGAGTGGTGCAGAGCTGATGTTCTGAGAGGTCCATTTCAAATAACGACACCTTTCTGCACTGTTTGACTCAGGTGATTGAAGTTACATACTCCATCTTTAGAAATATTCTGATTTTTATTCTGTCTGTGGAAGGATGAGTTGGAAAAAAGCCCTATTACTTGTTGGGTTGAAACTGAGCCCTTAAGGCCTCACGGAGTCAGCAATCTAAGTATTCAGTGATCTATGCCAGCTGCCATTATGGCTTTTTTGCTAGCTTTGTGCTGATAGAATAAATATGAGAAACCTAATTTTCAGGCTCCTTACCCACTGAACATGTTTCATAGCTTTAGATTTCATAGCTTTGGTAGATTACCATGTTAATAGCAGTTAGCTAGGATTAGAGGTGTTTATTCACTGATATCAGTAGTTGCTATCTCAGGAATTATCTCATTTTCAAAAACATACAAACCTCACCTCGGGAGCTGTAGTGGCAGGTTTTGCAGCTTCCAGCTGTGGACATGTGCCAGTCTTTGCATGTCCTTATGGTATTCTGGGTACTTGAGGCAACACTGTTTACACACACCTCTTCATGTTCCAGTTCAGAAATGTGATGCTTCCAGTTCTGGCTCACTTCCTACTGATACTCTCATTTGAAAGTTTTTGTGACTCTGATAAAATGATTGAGTCTCAAACCTGCCATATTTTCAGACATGAGCTTGGCATACGAAGGAATCCTTGGAAGACAATGGTTTCGTGTAGTAACATTAATTGCCACCAAATTCACTTTGCCTGATTGTTGAGTTTAAGAACCTAAATCAGTTTGCTTGGAAATAGACTTTGCATTCAGACATCAGGGCCAGCGCAGCCAAAA